AAGCGCTCAGACGGAGAGGGAGAGAAAGCGGGCAGAAGTGGAAAGAGGAAAGCCTCAGGCGGTCTCATGGGGAGAGGGCGGCAAAAGGTCTTCTTCCTCCCCGCCCTTCTTTGCTCCCGAACCCGGGAAGGGAAGGAATGGGGTGAATTAGTGAATTGCCTTCCCACCTCCCTGTGTCTCTGAAGGAGAGGATCACCCTCCAGGAATGCTCACACCGGAATAATTTCGTTCCCTTCGAAGAGTCTGCCAAATTCCAGAGAGTCAGTTTCCTGGGGTTGCATGCTCACCCCCTTCAAATTTTGCTTTTATTCTCTCTCCCCCCCAACCCCACCCCAAAAGAAAGAATGAAAGAGAGAGAGAGAGAGAGAGAGAGAGAGAGGCTGGCGCCTTCTCTGACCTGCCCAGTCTGATCAGCCTTCTGGGCCTCTGTCCTTCTGCCCATCCATGTTGCTTCCCTCCCGGGTCCTGAACCGGGTCCTCCTGCTTTTGTCTGCGTCTCTCAGGAGACAGTGGCTCGAAATTTGGAATCTGTCCTCCTCTGGTCCTCAGCCTGGCCATCAGGGACAGTCAACTGCGGACCCCTAAGGAGAAAGCAGGGGAGGACCCCCAAACACTTTGGAAGCTCATTAGGAGTCGCACGATGAACAGATCAGATCAATCGTAGGGTGTGAGATTCCCCCAGAAAACCTGGCTCCCCCAGGCCCCAGGTGGCCCGAGGGGCAGCAGAATCCTTGAGCACCCCAGATTCTCGCAAGGGGTGGGTGGGAGAAGCCAAGCTCTCCCGTTCTCAGCATCATTGGGGTCAAAAAAGTCCTGTGCAAGGTGTCCATTTTCACTGGAAATGCGGACAAGGACGCAGAAGCGGCTTTGATGTGCAGACACTCTCCATGAGATGAGCAGAAACTTTGGGGCAAGCCTAGCCGTTTCCCTCCGCATTAGAGGCAAGTCTTTTGTCAGGCTAACGGGATATAATGGAATTTCCAGTAAACAAATACAAAATACTGTACCCCCCATGTTTCGTATCCCAACCTCTAAATGGTGGAAGTTGCTGTGGGTGTCAGAAACTGGAATTTTTACAGCCACTTTGCCTGGGCTGGTCTTCCTTGCTGCTGTTCAGAGCATGAGGCCCCTGGGGGTCCCTGTTTCAGATATGCTCACAACACAGCGCTGACCATGGAAGGTGCCCAAGGCCAGGCCAGGCTCCATTTAGGAACAAGGAAGGGGCATTTGGAGCCTCAAAGAGGAGGCAGGTGGATGGTTGGGGGGGCAGGGGGATCAACGCTCCAAAATGCCACCAGAGATGAGCAACTCTGTCTGGATGCCTGAAATCCAGATTCCTTATCATTGAGCGGGCTACCTTCATTTTGCAAACTTTTCAAGAAGTTTGATCTTTCCTTTGTTGGTTTCACAGGTATAGCTTTGATATGGCATGGAGAGGTTGGGTTTTCTCGGGGGGGGGACAGTCAACAGGGCTGCCTCTGTGTTCCCAAGGTACAGTTCCCCCCCCAGTGGAGTGCGTGGCCAAGCAGGGCCCCTCCTGGAGGGCAGGGAGCCCAGCCAAGGGTCTCCTGCACTGGAATGTGGGCTGGTCACGGGAGGAAAGCCAGGCGGCCTCCCTTCCTCTGGCTTCGGAGAAGCAACCGCAGCGAGAAAGCGCCTCTGTGTCCTCAGGAACAAATTCCCAGAAATATCCTGAGAAATTACAGGGAGTTGCTGTTGGCCGGTGAAAGGAGAAAGAGGCCATTTCCTGCAGCCTGGAGGGAAGCGCTCTCTCTCTCTCTCTCTCTCTCTCTCTCTCTCTCTCTCTCTCTCTCTCTCTCTCTCTCTCTCTCTCTCTCTCTCTCTCTCTCTCTCTCTCTCTCTCTCTCTCTCTCTCTCTCTCTCTCTCTCTCTCTCTCTCTCTCTCTCTCTCTCTGTGTGTGTGTGTGTGTGTGTGAGAGAGAGAGAGAGAGAGAGAGTCTAAATCAGCTTAAGAGAGAAGGCTTTGAGTTGTTGGCTTGTTTGTTTACAAGAGTCCTGCCCCCCCCCTTCCCGGTCTGTTTGTCCTCAACACAAAGTACGAAATTTGGAAAACGAAGATTGCAAAATTACGTAACTGCTGAAAAATGTAAAAAAAAAAATTTAAATTACTAATATGAAAATATTGCTTTTAAAAATGCTGAAAGGTACCAGTCTAGGCAAACTACCTATTCATATTTGCAGATTAAATTTAAGCTGTATGGAACTGCTTTGCAAATATGTAGTTGTATAGCTGGATTGTCCTGAAGCAAGCTCAGAAAGAAAAATGCCCCCCCCCCAAAAGCGGGGGAGAGATTCTGCAAGATTCTAGAATCTTGGGGTAAATTCATTAGTCAGGCCTCATTGGCTAGTGCCTGTAACGTAAGCGACCTGCCATCCTTTATACAGTTCCCAGAGCCATTCAGCAATCATGGTAAATGAAGGGGGAGATAAGATAAAGGATGTTCCTTAGTATGTACCAGTTAGAAGCATCAAACAGCACACAGGTAAAAGGAAACATTAAAAGAGGGGTGAGAGATTTAGCATTCAGGGCACTGATAGGTTGCACAGCCAGCT